AAATGAAAATGTTTCATCATTATAAATGAAAATAGTGGTATGCAAGGAAAGAAAAAATAGGGAAAGAGCGAATATAAAGATAGGAGACGAAAAATTAGAGAAAGTGAATGATTTTCGATATTCAGGAAGTCAGATAAGTCAGGATGGAAGGAGTAGTACGAATATGAAGCAGAGAATCAGCGCAGGGTCGAGTTGCTTCTATGCTCGCAAACGATCAATTTAGAAATTTGAAAAAGATTGTTGAAGGCATATGTTTGGAGCGTGGTATTATACGGGTGCGAAACATGGACGGTGTGTGCGGCAGTAAGGAAAATGTTAGAAGCGTTCCAAATGTGGTGTTACAGGCGAATAATGAGGATATTGTGGATAGAGAAGGTTAGAAATGAAGAGGTATTAGAAGGAATGGATGAACAGAGGACTCTATGAAAGTTAATAAAAAAAGGGCGAGATAGGTTGGTAGGACACCTACTCAGGCATGAAGGGCTACTCAGAAACATATTAGAGACAGAAACAAGAGTTGAGAGGAATGGAGGTAGACCTAAATTAGATTACTTTTCGAAAATAGTTAATACTGTAAGATGTTCTGCTTTTTGGTGAAATACGAAAATTAGCTCAAGATAGGAAAGAGTGAAGGTGCTGGTACAGCCAGTCATAGGACTGACGACCTTATGAAGATGTTTATAAATGTGCGTAATTTTTCCACTTGAAACATATACACTGTAAAATTTTGAGATTCTGTTTGAGTTTACGTCATCAATATATAAGCTATTATTATAGTAGAGATTTTAATAGAGAACAATTGCATTAAAGGGGTTTTATGATTAAATATGGTAATTTGGCATTTAAAGACGATAAAACCATAAAAAGCCAATTTTTGTAAGGAGTTCGTTTTTGAGTAATTTTAAAAAAGGCTCCCCTTTCAGGTTTCTCCAAGTAACTCAAAAATATAAGGAGAGTTCTTGTTTCAAAATACTTTATTACAAAAAAAAAACGTTTGCGATAAAACTGCGTAATGGTAGTCAACATACAGCATCAGTATCACAGTGAATTTTCATCGTACAGAAAAGAATAAAAGAAGAAAAAAAGTGTATTTTCTCAAAATATATCTCTTCTTTGAACATTGATATAAACCAATTTGCCCAGGAAAAAGTTATAGACGATTTATTGAAAAAAAAGGGTGATTTTATAGACATTTTTTACTTGGTTTTTTAAATGTGCTAGGTACTAGAAATCGTAAAAAGAAAATAATAAAATTAATCTCGTTCGAAAATCCAATTTTCCAGTAAATATTCCCGTAAAATTCTCTAAAATTGTTTTAAGTTATTTAAAAATAAATGAAGGGAGTGCCTTTTTTAGGATTACTCAAAAACGGACTACTACTATTGCTTACTAGAAATGGTAAAAAGAAAATAATAAAATTAATTTCGTTGGAAAATCCAGTTTTCTAAAAAAAGTACTCTCGTAAAAATCTCGAAAATTGCTTCGTTTTTGAGTTATTTAGAAAAAACTAAAGGGAGTGCCTTTTTTACGATTACTCAACAACACACTCTTTAAAAAAGGGACACTATGTGGTTTTATCATATTTAGAGGCCATACTTCCTTTTTTTTGTCAGTATTCTATAACCCAGCAGTTAAGTACGAACTGTTTTAAGTCAAGTACACTGCATAAATAAAAAAGATACAAGCATACAGTATTTCGTTGAATAATAGATCCACGCTCTATTTCTCAGTAATTTTACTATTCATCCCCCAATTTTCAGTTAATTAAACGGTACTCGTTGTCGATAAAATCAATATGTTATTACAATCTATACTTGTAAAAATGGATCACTAAATGTGTTGCTAAGCACAAAACTCGAGAAGGGATGGACTAATTTTGATATTTTTTTTTAATATTCTTTCAAGTCCGAGGAAGGTTCTTATGAAAAAAAAATTGGAAAAATTTCCCAGAAAACCGTAAAACATTTTATCTGTAGACGGACTTACTCGAAGTTTCTATAAATACTCATTGTTAAAATTAAGCAAATACGTGTTTTGGCAATTTTTAAAAATCAACCCTTAAGGATGAAATGTTGTTGCTACGTTTGTATTTGAAAGATGGCG